GATTGAAAAACTTGTATGGAATCTTGTATTAAATTTTTAAATCTTAGATTTAAAAAGAAAATTTTTTATGAATTTCTACCTTAAAATAATTTGTGAATTTTCGTGATTTTTACGTATTTTGTCAAAATTCAAACTTTGAATGCTTATAAAAAAAATACAATTATCCACAAATAAAATTATTTTTCGTTATTTTACCCGTTTGCATCAATGTCGGAACTGAAATACTGCAGTAAACTTAATCAGTTTGCCTACCTTCGATGTTTGATCTTCATCGGATACATTGTTCATGTACAATTTTAGAACTATGTTTAAAATTTGATAGTGACAACATTTACAAAAACTAGTTTTAAATACTATGTATTATATTGTTATTCTATGTTTTATTATTAAACAAAATAATATTAAAGTTATTTTCTCTTGTCTTTCATAAACCGGGACAAAAGTAATGACCAGCCTTGACACCGGGACATGGTGTAAAAACCGGGATGAATCATAATACACGGTTACGGAACGTTCAATCATTGAACCTTCGAACGGTCAAAATTCGAACTTTTAAACCTTTGCTGCACTCGGTTCACACCTGGTTAAAATTTGGTATTCAAAATGATCAACGGTCGGTGCTGGGAACCAATCACGGTGTAGAGAAGATAAGGTGACACCACTCTTGTGGGCCGAGGGCCGTTCTCCGACAACTGATAACAACCAATTTTTTCTCCGACAGTCAGTGACCAACCATGAAAAAAAAATGTCAAATTGTTATTTGAAATAAATATATATAGATACTATACATATCTRATCCTAACCTACAAAGTTTGAAGTTGAAAGTTCGTTGTATGTACACATTTTAGTTTTAACTGTTGGAACTGTTGGAAGCATTTTGTCATGGTTTGAAGCTTCTGAATAGTTGTTTTCTAAGGTAAGGCATTAAAACCATTATTATAAACATTGTTGAAATTATATTTATTAAAAAAAATTATAAAACATACAATGTCATAAATCATAATATATAAATATAATAGAACTATAAAACACATAATCATTGTAAAACCAATACATTCATCGCCTATTATATTTATTGTATATAATAAATATAATAAAACACACATACCTAGTCAATGTAAAATCAATACATTCATCACTATTCACTACTAATTGAATTTGTCAATAAATGTAAAAAATTAAATGTATAATTTGTCAATAATTAAATCTGTCGTAAWAAAGTAGTYAAAAGTATAAAAATTGTATAAAAATAATAATAAAATTTGAAATAAAATTTTATTAGGTTATCATGGCTGTGGGCCAACTTGTCTATGCAGATACCCATCCATCATATGGCCGGCTCTTTGGAGAAACATTAAGAGATTCCCATCGTCATCGTCATTGAGAGTATCAATATACTCTCTAACCGACTTACCAGTAGGTTTATTTATATTTTAAACTACTGAAGAATAAATGCATAACTGTAAACAAATGCAATCAAATTTAGTTGGTTGAACAATTACTATAGTTCTATAAATAAAAGTAATATAAATTTAAAATAATATTACAAACATTAATAAAGACCAGATAGACTTAAACAATATTGGTGGCAATTCAATGAGGAATTGGATAAACAACTACATTTTTTCTAACAGTATATTTTTATTATTTTATTTTATATTATAATAAAATATAAT